CTCTCACCCACACTCACTCTCACTCACACTCGCACTCACTCACACTCTCTCTCCCACTCTCACTCACACTCACACTCCCTCTCACCCACACTCACTCACACCCACCTTCACTTCATCACCACCATCACCTCTCTGGACCCCAATGCGTCTATATCTCTAGACTTTCTGCTTACAGACCTTACACACACTGTTTGGGGTCTCTTGCCGGGATAATTTTCAGTCCAAAGAACTATGGAATTTGACTCGGCTACTGGGAGCATGGACGCTACTAGGGGCTCCTGGCCGTACTACTAGGAACAAGAACGCTACTACGAGCAAAGGGCATCGCTACTAGGAGCAAGGACGCTACTAGGGGCTCCTGGCCGTACTACTGGTGGAAACTGCCTGGATCCACTTGGGACTTGGGAGAAGGCCTCGGATCTTCCAAAAGAATTGCCTATAGAAGGCGCAGCCCTTGGCGCTGGTGTTGGGAGGGAAAGCTAGTGGAATACATCCTAATCGCCCTCAATTCTCTGGATGGTCTTACCTAGGTAGTGGATTCCTTCAGGGAATGTCCAGCGAGGCAGCTGGTTTAGGAAGCCCAACTAGTTCCATGCTGGTTCCCAACCATATTAGTCTTGGGGGTGCCAGAAAGTTCTAGACTGCCCTGAGACAAACGAGGAAGAAACACAGAGTCTACAGGCTATAGTCCGGACCTGTTGAAGTATAAAGACCTTTACTTTCTTCATGAAGCACATCCAACTTGAAAGGGTAAGGTCTCACTTGACAGGGTTTCTTCCAGAGAAGAAAAACCCTAAGCAACTCAGAATGCTATGTCACCCTAAGCAACTCAGTGGGCAAAGGAACATAGTCGAACTCAAGGGATCGGGGTTCAATATACTTACCCTAGGGATCCAGGCGTACCTTCTCAGGTACGGTGATTGGAGACTATTTATGTAGGCTTGAGGGCCCAGTCGTACCTTCTGAGAAGGTGGCAGTGGATCCCTAGGGTTATATAATTTTAGGAAATTACACAACTCCTTACTACCAGAAGAACACCTTAACAGCTCTCCGGCAACAAACATCAAGCTCGGTTGATCAACAACTCTCCACCACATGAAGGGGTGTTGCAATCCAATTGCGGGGAAGTATTAATCAGTCTACATTAGCCTTATTAATTGATGCCTTATTTCAGTTTGGTCTACTGGAATCACCCACGAATTGAGACTTACGCATGTATATATATATAATATATGGGTGCGGTGGTGCGTGTATATATATATATATATACACGTAATATATAATATAGTCTAATAATATGTTATATAGGTCATCAGCAAAAAAGGAACTCCCAAGACTTAGACGGAAGACGATCCCCTCAGCCTCATGTAGACGGTTATCATGGTGAAAACCATGTTTGGAGCGGTTTGGACTACCTGGGTGATCCTCGGTGTGTCTTTCAATGGGGAGACACCACCGACCTGCGGTTCCCACTGGTCGAAGTCCCGGCGACGCCCGGGCACCTCATTGGATAAGTTCGGCTGCACCTGGGAGGCTGTTGGAAGCGGAGGCTGTGAGGGGTGCATGGACACCCAGCACTGTATAGTTAGGGCAGCAGAAACCGCTTCAGTTTTTTGCACGAACGAACTAGTTCGCTCTCGGCAAAGCCCACCCCGTCCGTTCTCACCCCGTTCGAGGCACCGCTGGGAAGTTTGCCGCGGTCAGCATGAGGGCTTGAGCCTCTGGCCGTTCTCGGTGAAAGGCTTGAGCCTCTGGCCGGGCTCAACAGCTCGGGCTTGGGCAACCAACCCAAACGTCTGGGTGTTCATGGTGTTTTTTTGGGGGGGGTCTTTTTGGTACGGAATTATGTACTGTTCAAAAGATGCTGTTTTGTTTCCTCCAATTCTCCTCACCTGTACTGTAGTGGTCTTAATTAACTACAACTGCTGCTGCTGCTGCTGCCGCCACCACTTCTAATACTACGAGTACTATACTTATATTGTTATTTGACGCTTCTTCTTTCACTGAGTACTACTAGCAGCCTAGCACCACTAGCATGGCTTTTGGAAGCTATCACTCCCTCAGTTGTTTGTTGAGGGGTAGTTAATACATCAAACTAACGTTTCTTTGTGAACTGATGGCTTGGTGGGTTGGCTGGAAGGTTGAGCTTGCAGGTCACAAGCCTCCAGGCTCAGGTCCTGCGCTGACCTAGGACCAGGTCCCCTGCACGTTTGGTAGCACACGGAAGTGAACTTCGACCCCAAAATCATCACACTGCCAAGATCTGCGCAGCCAGACTCTTGGAGAGGTGCAGCGACTTGCCCACAGCCACTTCTTTCAGTGAAGCGTTGCATGGAACACCCTTCAGCCACTCCAAAAGGTCACAATCAAAGTGTCCGCCGATCAAGGTGTGCAGTTTTGCACCATCAAATGGGTGTCCAATGCAGATCTAGCCTGAGTATTATAGTCCGGACACCCAAACAGGATGGTCCTGGAAGCTAGTAAAAACCAAGAGTTGCAAAGTGCCGCCCAAGCTGGCGCGCCCTAGGGATCCGACTTGATCATGTGGGGAAGTATGCACTGTCTGGATCTTATCAAAAAAGAAAAACACTGATTGCGTGCATCTTACATTGATTGGCTCCAAATCAACCACTTGGAACGTGCGAAATGTCTTGAGATATGCCCAAACACTCCATGGGACTGCCATATATGGCTACATTGACCCCCAGTCAACCACCTGGCCTGATCGGCATACATGCCAGTCCGATGGGTCGTGTCTTGAGATATGGTGTTCTTGGAGGATTTCCCCAGGCCCGACGCCCAAGCGGATGAAGCATACGTGGTCCATACCATGGACATATCGGCCACAGTTGACAATGACAAGGCCCATGTATACTTGCTGCTTGCTTGATTGAAAACCACTGAGGTGCATGTGGAGCATCGGACATGAAAAAAGCGATTCAGTCAGGTTGGTGAGGTTGCTGCAGTTTCAGAACACGACACCAGGCAAGACACCAGGCAAAGCTTTCCCCCATGCGCGTGGAGATGACTTATGACATGGAATCACGGCAGCTACAAAGGACCTACGGGAACTCCAAGCAGTCAAGAGCTCTCGAGCCCTTAAAAACCGGGGACCCCGGCCGCCCCCGTCGTCTCCATGACAACGCGATGGATCCGCTGCCCTAGGGATCACCTTCTCAGGTACGGTGATTGGACCCTCCTGGCACCTACATCGCAGTGTCTCCGTCCTCACCGTACCTGAGAAGGTATGGATCCGGATCCCATCCTGCCGTCCTCCGTCGTCCGCACCATGCCGATCCGAAGCGCGAAAGCCGTCGCAGCACCGCCCACCTCGTTGGACAGGTGGGGCACTGGCACCTGCCGGCCGAAGCGGCGGAGAGTGCGGGGTGTCCGGTGGTCAGGGAAAAAGGGTCAGGGATGACAAAGCAGTGAGGGTGTTCTTCATTAATATACCATCATAATCCATTATAATACCTATTATATAGATCTTCCAACTATGCAACCTTTTGATACCTTTTGTGCCTTTCATGTCTAAAAGCCAACCAAAAGGGGGAAACATTGCATAGTTGGAAGATCCAGGAATGTGCTGATGATTCGGAATGAGCGATGATTATAGGGATGATTAGGATCAGGACTTCGTCTCTGATATCTGTGTTTTGACTGACCGTGGAAGCGAATGCATGCGAATGCCACCATGCGAGAGCGCGGGCGACTGGGAGCACCTGTCCGTTCACCAGTCTGTGTCGAAGTTGAATCTTTCGGCACTTAGGAAGTTCCGAAGTCTCCCTAAGGACTCGAGGTTCGATGGCATGACCCCGATTGTGGATGACGTCCCCATGCATTTTTCCGTGTGTTCAGACACACTCCACTTCCACTTACATCGATCGATGTATTGAAGCACCACGGCGTCGAGTAAGAAATCCTTCCGCCCATCGGTTCACAGGTCGGTCACACCAACAAACAAGCCATCGCCTGGCTCGTGAGAAACCTGGCTTTGTCGACTCCAATCCGTAAAAACTACAATTCACCAGCACCACCCAGCTTGGGTGGTTTATAGATCCCCCTGAAGATGTATTTTCCATCTAATAACCACCCAAACTGGGTGGTGCTGGAATATGAGATTAGATGCGATTAGATGGTAAAAGATCTAAACAACATCCTCATGAAACATGGTGGACTAGGAATCCGATGAAACCATGTTTGGGACTCTCTCCTGGTTTCGAAGGGACTCTCGATCTCCGATGAATGATCGACGGCTGATGCTTGGCAAGCGAGTTCGATCGAATTCGTATGTTTTCAGGTCGACGGCTGTGAACTGCTGCGCAACATGTCGACGGCTGCTCGGGCCAAAGCCCTACATTGTCCAGTCGTACCTCCTCAGAAGGTATGACTGGACCCTCCAAACCCACTCCAAACACCTTCAGGCCTTTCCGGGATGATTATGTTGGGAATTCACGATCGATTCCATCACTCGGTTCACAGGATTGATGAAGAAACCTGTCGAAACCACGGGGTCGACTGTCGCGTTTTGCCAACCGCGATGATCGACAAACATCCCGGAGCGGGCGATGCGATCTGCCTCCCCCAAAACCGCCACGGCCACGGCGGTTACACACGTCTTGGCCCGATAAACGGCGTCGCCTGTGGGAAGGCCACCTCGCCCAGGTGCACCTGAGAGGAGACGTCGGAAGCCGGATTCGGATTCGGCTGGGACCGACGGACTGGCCTCCCTGGTTTCGCAGGTCGCAAGAAGACCCATGACACCGCAAGCGGTACCGGGTGGTTTCGCGGTCGCGGTGCAGCGGGCGGGCGCAAGCACAAGGTCGTGGGTGCGTTCTCTGTTGGTTGCAGAATGTGGATTTCGTGACCCTCTTGTGGCTTGGTTCGGGTTGGTCAGTGGGTCCAGTTGCCTCGATGCCGCTGGGCCCAGTGGCTCCAAAGACCTAGAAACCCTGGTTCCTTCTATCTTATAATGGTTACTTGGATCTTGCAACTAGATGCAAAAGTTAAAAAGGTAGTATATACAGTATGCCTTTGAACATTTCCTGCTCTAGATCCACTGGAAAGTACCCACGAAAGCCGTGTCCACTCCCACCGGAGACTCCCCAGTCAGACGATGAGAGGGGGCTCCGAACATCCAGATCTGGGCATGGAGCTTGCCAGGGGAGACCCTCACTTGGAGCCACAAGGAGAAATCAACAAGGACAATCTCCCGGGCGCGAACGAGGACGGCAAAGACGGCCCAACAAAAATGGGGTGGCTGCCAGTGTGAATGTGGCTGTAGGCCGGTGCCACCATGGAGCATTTGGGGTTGATTGGTTGGACAATCTCCTGATATTTCAAGACGCACCAGTTTTGAATATGGTATCAGTTAAACATGAAGATGGGTTTTCGCAGCACAATGCCTGCCACGGGCAAAACATCCAGGTTGTTTGGGCCTTGACCCCCCACCCATCATTATATTTGGATGTTTTTGGTGGGATGTGACACACAACCAACACCATGTCTTCAACTTGTTGAGATCTTTTGAATGAGAAAAAACGTTCACAACCGCTTCTCTACCAGCTGTCGAAGACCTCCCCCCCGCTCCTCTTGGCATTTTGGCCCATTGTGCCTGGTGTTTCCCAAACTCATGTCGCACTTAAGAGCCACGTCGATTCCCCTCAGCGCGATCCCGCCGGGTGTTCTGCCTGTGGCATGGCCTCCATGTTTATCTGCCCAACCTTGATCCGTCGTCGGATCCCGGTCCCCTTCCCGGTCCACCTTGAAAGAAGAAAGAATCATCAATGCGATTCGCGAGGCACTTGCAGTCTCATTCGCCCGCTCGACGAACACCCACATAAGAAAGCCACGAATTCGGTGTACACCAACGAACTCCCTGATCGTTGGTCCCAAAAACGATCGTTTGACCCATTGAAGTAAAGGAAGGTCTTTTTCACTGCATGGCACCTAAAGAGACCTCCCCAGGAACTATATTTGGTCCAAAAAACTGGTGGGCTCCAGGCGGCCCTTTCCAAGGAGCCCGGCCCGGACACCGCAGAATCCCCCAAAAACTCGTAAAGAACACTCCTCGACCGAGGCTCTGCCGCAGAACATTCAAGAGATTGGACCCTTGGGCTCGACCCACCCGACCGACTCGAATCCGGTCCGCCAATCCGGAGGGGTCCGGGGGTTCTCAGCAATCCAGTCCTAAGGGATCGGTCCAGCTGTTTGGAGGGATCGGTCTGGGCCATTCATGGCCATCAGTGCTTGGTGTCCCCAAACCCACGAACACGAGGCCCTCTGATCGTGCACATGCCGGTTCCATCGATCGCTTTCGGTCCCGATTCGCACCTGTTTTGGAGCCCAACCTATGTAATTATATATTTTATAGTAAGACTATGTAAGACTTCGAACAAGTGTAATTTTGTCTCTCAGTCTTTGGAGGGTCCACCTGTACCTGCTGCATCATATCACACACCCGAAAGCAGCAGTCTTGGGACCTCTTCGCTTTTAAAAGGAACATCACCACCAAAACCCACGACCAACTCCATCCATGACCCGCCCTGTTTCCCCCCCCCCTCACATCTCGCGCCCGTCCCCATCTGGATCCTTGGAGGCCGGGACGTTCTGGGCTAACTGTCGGAGCTGGACGGCAATTTGCTCTTTATCGACTTCTGCTTGGGCGTTGCCTGAGCGAAAGAGGAGCTGCAGAGAGCGCTGAGAGACTGGCGTCTGGAGCTGATTGGTGGAAGCAATATGTGCAAGGGAGGGTTATTGCAGGGTCTTCGGTACATGATAGAGGAGTCTATAAACCACCCGAACAGTTGAACTGCTTGCAGACCAGCTTTGATCTTTTTGTCCTGAAGCTCTGCAAAAGCATGCCCTTCGAAGGGGAAAAAATCCTTCAGGCCTCCTCGATTCAGAAGTCGGGCCATGTTCTGCATCTCCTTCCAGTGGAATGCAGCGTTCTGTGCAGCTGAAGCTTCGCTCAGAGTTTCTGCAGGGGGGCCCTTTCTCCAGGAGTTCTGACTGGTGCAACTTCTAAAGAATGAGGAAATCAAATGCATGCAGGAGTCACATAGGGGTGTTTTTAGTCCCAGGGGCTGGATTGCCATCTCACCGAGCGAGCGACTCAGTGTTTGACGTTTCCTGTGGTTCCGGTGTGTCTTCTGGAACTCCGGTCTTGACGAAGGAGACTTCCTCCAAAAGAACCCCTGAAAACAGCACCAACGAGATGGGATGAAGGCGATGTGACAGTCTGTGACATCCGAGATCTGGGGTCTTCAGCCGTCTTCGAAATTCCCAGACTCGATAGAACTGGACTTGAGAACCTTTCCAACTTCAGCATTCTCACTCTAAGTTGGGTATTTTCGTTTATACATCCTATTACCAGCAACAGTGGATGATGGTTAGACCGTTACAGGTAATGGGACAAACCCAAGCCGGTCGTGCACCATCTCCGATTCGTTCAACGCGCCTGCGGTCGCACTTTGTCAAGCTGGGAAACGATTCCCTCTGCCAAAGCCTGCCGTTCAGTGCAATTTGGTGCATACTCCCCCAGCTGTTCAGGAAATTACGGCTCAATCCTGTTGTGTTTATGGGCATTCGGTAATCTCAGATATGATTTCTCATCAGGTTTTATACCAAGCATTACAAACCTATAGACCTATGTTCAACTCACCGACGTCATCACGTTTATTGGTCCCTGTCAAAGTTAGCTGGCCAGAATATTTTCGGTAGCCAACCTCAAGTGGGGGGTTGACGAAGACTGTAGGGATACATCTGGTTGCGGAGAATGTCAGCTTGACAGAGCGCAAACAACCGAGAACCCTGAAAACTTAACGTAGTCTGGACCTTGGCACCATCGAAATACACCACCACCTACCTCATATCTTTTTGTAGGCTGGTGAATCGGTTAAGGTCAAAGGTAGCAGCTGAATGCCAGGAATTGCCTTACTAGGGCCATTCAAAATGCAACATAAGAGGAACTGCAGGGGGAGCCATGCTTACCCCTAAAAAACTCGTGAGCCCCAAAAACTCCACACTGGGAAGGCCAAGGGCAGGATGAGGGTGAGAGACAAGAGTCGCAGGGTGCCCTAGTCCCCCAAGAAGGTGGGCTCCAACTGTCCTCAAAGTGCGAGTGACAGAAGGGGCGTGATGTCCAAAAGTGACAACATCAAAGATCAACCCCATGGCGAAAACGGATGGACACAGCTGTTTATGGCGGAGCTCCCTCTAGTTCATAATAACCTCCAATCAGGGATAGAACACTGCACAATTTGTTGATCCTGACCATGTGAGTGAGACAAGTCCTAAAATGATTGATGTGCTGGTTGTTCCAATTGTAAACACCCTCAGCCAGGCTGGCTCAGGCTGAGCGGCTGCGATCCCCTAAGCTAAATCTCTGACAAATCCTCCGCACCCTCCTGTCTGGTCTGTGCCTTGACGATCTTCATGCTGCTCGGCGTGGTGGGCACCAGCGAAAAGCCCTGCGAGACCGTCGCCCCAGCCCGCGTGAAGGCTGGAATTTGGACACCAACGATGGAAGGTCAGTGCTTCAGGCGAGCTTCCATCCAGTGAACTGGTGGGCTGATGGACCCTTGACGAGGTGGGAGCGAAGCACCTGGTGTTGAAGTGTCTTGACGAGGTCGCGAGTAAAACCATGGGGATCGGGACCGGGATTCGAAGAATGGTGGGCGTATGTCTTTCATCACCTGACAGGATGGTGTGGGTTGGAGATGGTTGGAGTGAGTAGCTTCCAAAAAACACATCTCCGGAGTCAAAGACGGGAAAGCTTCTCCAGTGCCAGATCGACTGCCAGATGGTTGTATCTCAAAAGATTACCTATAGTTGTAGTAAAGACTTCAAGTCCCTAGGGCTCCAAGTAGCTCCAAAGGTATTTAGTCCCTCCTGACACCCAACCCACCCACCTTCGAAATGAAGGTACGACTGGAGCAGAGCGGGGTCATATAAGCGATGTTGATGTATGGAACAAACAATGTGTGATCATATTTCCAGTCACATAGTGACGTGCAGTAACCTGGTGGTCTGGACGCCCAAGCTGTCCCTATTTGTGGCCCGGGGAACCAATGGCCTGGTGGGTAGGACATTACTATAGGACCTCCAGGAGCAACACCAAGGGTGAGAAAAGGATCCACATTCAAAGTGCCAAGAACAGCATATCATACCTGGACTCTGAAACGATGTTGTTTGTTTTTCCGTCTCGCCAGAAAACATGACGCAGAAAAAAAACAGCAAATTCGCAGTGACAAAAATCAACGCAGAAGTAACAGAAGTAACAAACATCGACACCAAAACTGTTTGTTGCGTTGTTCTTTTTAGTTTTGCCTGAAAATTGCCCCCACCGGAAAAGCAAAAACGTCTTTTGCGGGGTCTATTAATATGTGAAAATATAACAACAATGCAATCAAAAAACGACTTGGATTGCTCCTTAAACTTGTTATATAGTTCCAATCTATGACTTCGTGAATATTTCACATGGTCACATGGATCCAACCACATATCCTCAACAAATCCTGAAATCCCACCATCCTGCAAGAACTGGAATCCCACGGCCTTTAGCAAGTGAACCAAGGCATTGGCATCTAAATCCTGTGGCCCCGGGCAGTGCTCCATTCAGCGAGAACCGCACACACGATCCGTGTAAAATCCATTGAAAAGCCACTCAGGGTGAAAAACCACTTGGTGGCACTTGGTGGTATTGGATGAAGCTGTTCTTCTTTTTGTAGGTTTTTTTCTTCTTATTATTTTTTTCTTCTGACTGTTCTATTCATCAATGCCAGCTGCAAGGTTAGAAAGACAAAACCCACAAAACCGACCAGAAATCGAGATCTCCAATCAAAAAAACTTAAAGTTTTTGTTGTATCTAGAGCCTTTTTCATTGTGAATGGGGTGCCAAATATAATGATGTATGCATTAGAAGCTTCTACCCAAACCCAATTTGTCCGCAAAAAACGTGGGCCTGCCAGAAAATCACAAAACAATCACAAACCCCCCACACACATCGAACCACCAGAAAACAGCACCGACAATAGAGTCAAAAAAAAACGCAAAAATTTCAAAACGCCCTAGTCACAAAACCCTTGCAGGCTCAAAAAAATCAAAATTTTAGGATCTATGGGGGGTCTGGGGGGTGTATAATTTTTTTTTGAACCTGCCAGTGTTTTTGCAAGGTGGTGTATATAAAAATAGCAAGTTCCTTGGCAGGCTCAAAAAAACGAGAATTTATGCATCCCCCAAAGCCCTCATAGATCCTAAAACGTTTGGCTTTGTTGTTTTTTTTGAGCCTGCCAGTGTTTTGTGACTAGGGCCTTTTGAAATTATTGTTTTCTTGAGCCTGCCAGTGTTTTTGCAAGGTGGGGTAGACCAAAAAATAGCAAGTTCCTTGGCAAGCTCAAAAAAACAAAAATTTTGCACCAGAGGCCTCATAGATGCCAAAACTTTTGATTTTTTTGAGCCTGCCAGGGCTTTGTGATTATGTGCTTTTGAACCTATTTTTTTGGAGCCTGCCAGGGAATTTGAAATCTCTGCTCCATCTGGCCTAGCAAATTCTTCATTGTACCGTCTGAAACGCAAGCATGCAATCATTAGCCATAGCCGGCATTTTGACTCAAACTCGCATTTTCTGCAGTATCGTGCAATTTTGTGGAAACCATGCTTAAAGATGGCGGTGACATCACCATGGAAAACGCACTGAATGCGACCAATGCAATGTTTCTACATCAGCTGAAGAAACCCAACATCGTGGACCTTCCTCGTGGCAGCGTTCTTCCCAGTGACCTTCCTCTTAACGCCATCTCAGACAACAGCAAAGTCAGGCACATCTTTGACATGGTTGGCCCTGTCGAACTTCCCATTGCCCTCCTAGAGCTAGTGACACAAGCTGGCAAAGACAAGCGGTTTCATGACTTGCCGGCCCCCTTTGGGTTGAAAGCTTCTCCAGGTATGCAGTTCGACTTTCAATTGGCTGCCGTCCCTCTGCCTGACCAACCTGGAAAGTATTTCCTCTTGAAGCACATTAGCTTCTCTGAGCAGGTCAAGTCCAAGTTCCTCAAGACTTTGTGCCACGGAGACTGTCTATGTGTCCAGTGGCAGGGGCGCAACAAGAATATAAGAAAAGCTCTCCAATAACTGTTTGAGAAAATGGGAGGGTTTCAAGTTCCAAACCCAAAGCTTCGCTTTGTCTCCTGCTGGCGCTGCTTCATCTGACCGCAAGACTTTCTATGATGGCCTGAGTGACGACAAGATTGACGAAGGATTTGATTTCATTGAGCAATACGGCCCTCGAAGCCATCACAGCAACACCCAACTGCGATGGATCACAAAGCAACTCATCTCTGAGGATTCTCCCATCAAAGACTGGCCCGAGAGATTGACCAAAGAAGCTCTGAGGAACCTCATGACGGATGGAGTCTTAGCTTCGCCCGTGCATGACTTCCCCCTGACACTTGTGGATGTGAACCCTTCTGTCCTCTTCATCTTGGATGGGAAAGACTCCACTTGGAAGGATTGTCGCAATGGCCATGTCCCGGTACTGGGTGCGGAAGCTTGGCTCTCGCAATGTCCCTGGCTACCGGGAGGCCTGTGAGTTTGATTTCTTCAGGGGCGAGGCAGGAAGACAGGACCGCCCTGACATCTTCGATGACGGTTCCCTTCCCGAACAGCCTATGCGCAAGCTCAAAGGCTTTTGTGATATTGGCAACACGGTCCTCACTAAGGCCAAGGAGAGGTGGGGAGCGGCCAAATTCCAACAAGGTCAAACGCGCATCTACATTTCCAACGAATTAGATCTCACCGCGGAGCCTCGACCAAAAAGGAATGTGACAACCCTCTCTCACAAAGACTTCATGCAGATCTTGGAGCCAGCGTGGATGAAAGGGTCCTCAGTGTCTGACATTGAGGCCGTCCTGAAGCAAACTTGCATCTTGATCATGACCAAGCGCTTCATGTACTGGCGCCCCGCCACTGAGTCTGAGGTTTCGGTCGACCGCATTGATTTGCCTGGTTCTTTGCTTCGTGAGTCTGGTGGGCAGAAATACATGGACTATCGCAAAGGCAACAAGAATCTACCTGAGGAGTTTGTATCTCATGTGAAGTGGGAGCAGGCGTGGATGACCTCTGGCATGGAAAGAGGAGGGAAAGACATGCCTCCACTGCCTACAGAGACCATTACACATTCCTTGTTCAACCCTTCTGAAGCCAACCGTGTCGTGGAAGTACACGTGCCTCCTCAGCCAGTCAAGTCCGAGACCATCGGCTTCAAGCGCTCTTTGACAACTTGCGCTGGCTCCATTGATCTAGACAGCCCGGTGCACAAAAGCATCAAAAAGAATCAGTGACATCCATCAAAGCTGAGGCTCCAGAAGTGGAAGAGAAAAAAGCCAAGAACTAAGGCCTTATCAACTTGGTCTCTGGTGACGAAGCACCATCTCCGATTCCAAATCCACCCATTCTCATCGAGGGCATGATTGGAGAAGGTGATGAAGAAGATGTTTTTGGACATGGCTTTGCCACCCACCAGGACTGAGTGATCTCTTGCCCTGGGCAGACGTATAGGAAGCCAATCATACCTACCAGCGGAGCAAAAGGTTGTGTCCTGTCAACTTGAAAAAAAAACATGTTGTGCTTCTGACTGTCATTGTTTGGAGGTTCTTGTCACATGCCTTCTGTCATCTAGCATCTTTCGGCTGCTGTCTGAACCTTTAGCTTGCTGCTTAAGGTGGCTCTTTTCCTGCTTACTCTCACCATGGCCATATTGAAGCGCAGCCGCATTGTGCAGAATCTGAATGAAGAGTACCACATTTTGTTCGCATCCTACCCTGACCTGTACTGTCTTGTACCTTCACCAATCATGGTCTATCCGAAGAGATGTACCGGGCGCGTGCCATCTGCCGCGGCATGCGTCTTTGTGATGAAAAAGGGCAACGCTCTGACCTTCGCAACTTCATTTTGAAGGAGTATGAAGAGATTTTGGACAAATGCACCGTTTTTCGTGGCTGCCTCCCGGACCCCGCAGAAGACATCACCGACACGTGGATGAAGGAAACCCTTCTCGTACTTTGCAGCATCTTGGAAGCTTCCTAGTCAGGATCCTGATGAGCGTTGAACGTATGAAAAAGGGCGCCCCAATCTGAAATTGAAATGGCGCATATGCAGAAAGACTATATCTATTCATGTTCTGCCCTTTTTGATTGCGCTGTCACTTCCAAGCTCTGCGCACTATCTGCCAGAATTTTGTAGCTGCTGTAGTTCTCCCTTGTGTCAAGTTTTGATCGTCATGGCGCCAAAGTTCAACCCTTTGAAGATCCGAGGCGCGGAAAGGGTAGAAGTACCCTCAAGCGGCCAGCGTCCACCAAGAGCTCGACGTGGAACAAGATTGCCTACACCCGTGACAAGGCCAAGGATAGGATACGCATGGATCGCACTTCGTGGAAGAGGTCTCTCCCAGAGTTACTTCACACCACTGAGAACGACTTGATCCACAAGCTTCGGGAGGACCGTCTGCTTCCATGTTGGAAAGGTCACGTTTGTCCCAGATGTGAGAAGGGAACTTTGTCTACTCTGGTGCCACATCCGTCCAGTGGTGCGCTCAACTGCAGTGCCCGTGGATGCTGGGCATACATCAGTCCTCACCACCTCCACCCTTTGTTCGTTGATGGCCGCGGCGCTAGTTCGACGTCTTTGTTTACGCAGTCAGCCATCCTACTCTTGAAGCTGAACAATGTGTTCCATCCAATCATTCACTGGCTCTTGGGCGTCAATCACAAGGTCATTGAAGAGTGGGAGACTCGTCTCTGCGACTTGCGTATGAAATGGGTGGAGGCAAAGGAGATTGTCTTCGGGGCTGGAAAGCCCTGGAGCGATGTGGAGGCTGATGAAGCCACTTTTGACAGGAAAGACCTAGCAACTGCTCCAGACCCATCCGAGTATGTCTTGTGGGAGCAATGGACCCCGAGACTCTTGTGCTCCATCGTCTGACACCTGCATTGGCTGCTGCTCGAGCTCCAGGGCCAGGGGCCATCCGGAAAGTGGAATGGAAACCCATTGCCGAAAAATTGCTTCAAAACAAAAAGGCGTTTCAAACAGATGCCGCAAAGAGCTATCGAGCCCCCTGGCGTCTTGCACGACAATGTGGTGCACTGCAAGAAGGCATCAAGGTCAAGGGCAAGTGGAGGTGGCAGCTTCCAAAGTATGTTCGTATTGCTACGCACAAAGTGCCTGGCACTAAGACGGCTCTGAAGGTCAAAGCCGGCACTCAGGTCATCGAACGGGCCTGGCGATATCTCAAAGATCGGGTTGTCTTGAACCAGAACTGTACAACAGGTTCGAAGCGCCTTCGCTCCAAGTTGCGTTCGGCGCAGTACCTGTACTGGTATAGACAGAAAGATCTTTGGGTAGCGACCGGAGAGCTGTGCACTTGGGAAATGATAAATTTCCTAAGAACAGAGTAGTACACTTTGATCGCTGATGAGATCTGCAAGGCAAAATGAGCTGTTTGTGCCAATGCATCCAAAGGCTTCATCTGTTGTACATCTGCTTGGCCATCAAGAACAATCTGCTTTCAATACATCTGCTTTATCATCAAGGACAAC